GGGCGTCCAAAACGTCCAAAATGTGCATGACATGGTTCCTATTTGTCTTGTTTGCACATAGTAGCTCAAATAGCCGTGCAGTTCTTCTGTGAAATAGGCCCTCTTTTTTTTAATTCAATTCAATTTTAGGCTGTATCGTTTTGGTCATCGGTCAAGCCGATTCATGTTTCACTGAAATCTTGAGATGAGATCTTATTGTTCTTGAAAAGAAACTGGAAGTTCTGGTTCCCCTATGAAGCTGCAGAAAACACAAGCTATCCTCATGTCATCGTTGTGCAACAGAAATGCCTGTTGTGTTTTTTAATGCCTCTACTTTCTGTTTTTAAATGTTTTCAAGTATGTGAGCTGTGGAGGAGAATTTCTGTCACTGTTTGAACAGACGTTAAAGTTAACCCATTTGTCTAAAGAATCTCTGTGCCTGAGATCAAACGTTGTGTCTTTGTTTCTGTGTTCCAGGTTCGTCAGCTGCTGTAAAGAAGACTCACACATGTAAGTGAACAGTTTGTTTTTTTAGCTCTTTATTCTCTTAAAGGTGGAGTCAAGAGCATTGTGTGTTGCAGCTTGTAAACACAACATTCAAACTGGGCCCCTCCTCCTGGGCTCATCGCCCCCCTGCAGGACGTAGTGTGTACGTTTACTGCTTGTAGCCACACTGAAAGCTAACACATGCTAGCACAAGCTAACCGCTGGTGTTTGTCACCTGACTGTCCAACAGGAAGCAGACCAACTCCACGTCCACAAAAACCAACACAACGTTCACCCTCGTTTTAGAACAAGCTTTGTCAACTTGGAGTTTCGCCTCACTGTGATTATATTTTCTCTTCTTTGCCACTACGTCCGTCATATCTGCCTGTTTTGAATCCAATCACTGAATTGTATCCACTCCTCAACTCACCTGCTGCGCTGTCATTGGCTGAAGGAAACACACCAGCTCCGCCCAGAAACGTCCCGAGTCAACCAGAACAGTAAAATCCAGTCAGAGTCTCTGCAGACACAGTCACCACCACACATGTACGGAGGCCCAGAAGGGACAAGTCAGAGGCTTTACCTTTGCACAAGTCTGTATACTACAATTACTTCTGACTCTACCTTTGAGTGATGATGATTGTGCATGTGCAAAACCAATCCCCTTTGCTTATTCAGCAGCCCATAATCAGTACACACTAGACTTTACACTCACTGAAGGCAATCTTTTTTTCCTTTCTGTGCATGACTGTTTGGCTTCAGACTTTCAAAAGTTCTCCTTAAGTAGCCTACTCAAACTGTGAACTGAAAAAAGTCCCTGCTTGAAATCATTGCACAGACGTTTAACGAGTGCATGAAATGGCGTCGGTGTGTTTTGAGGAGGACTAAAGAGACAAAGACAGAAACTGTAAAACAATACAGCAACAATATCCCAGTGTAAGCACTGGGACTCTTTGAAGATGTGAGGGGAGGGTTTTCTTTTTTGTTGTTGCAGTTTTCATGCTTTGTGGATTACTGGCAGTAGATTTTTTTCATTTTAGATTGAAGAGAATTACCAGAATTTGACAGTAAAACATGTAAGAGTTGCGAGTGTGAGGGATAAATGAGAATAAATGTGTGACGGGGGACTGCTGCCAGAGCGGTGTCTCTCTCATTAGAGCTGATAAGGAGGGGATAATGGATGTGAGGGCCTCGTGTGGCCGACTGAGCGTGGGACGATCGGAGGGAGAAGAGCTGATCCTTCAGGCAACAACTCGTATCGTGCCGCTGTGATTCTATTGACTGGCTGTGATGGGGGGGGGGGGAGGGGTGGGGAGGGGGGATGGGACGAGCCTTTCCGAGCGTAAATCGTCCCCCTGTTCTGCCAATTTAGAGGAAGAATGAAGCTCCTGCTGCGCCTCGGTTTGCTCTCCCTGCTGGCAGGAGTCGCTCTCGCCTGCAGCCCTCTCGTCTCAGATTCACTCTGCAGGCTGTTTTCACGCAGCTCGCTCATTCTGGAGGAAGTTCTGCTGCTCGGTCAGGAGGTAGTGGGATGTTAGGTGAAATGTCTTGTCTGCTTCGACTGCAGTCTTTCACTTTATTTTTGAAGGATTTTTTTAGTTACTTATTTATTCTTAAAGACCCTGAGGAGGTTTTTGCCGACTGAAATTGATATTGGTGAATCTTTTTTGGGCCACTAAAGGCAGGGTTGGTAATTTTTATCCAGATCCACTTTTTAAGATTTTGGTTGAAATTGTCTTTATGTCCTGACAGAAATTAATAACTCATGTTCTCTGAAAAAGGAACAAAGAAAATCTGTCATCTGTAGCAGTTGTAAGCCTGTAAAAACTTCAACCAATGTCTGCCACGAGGTACCAATCTGATGAACCAATCAGGCGCCTCCCTGTCTCCCTGCTCGCTCTCTACCCGATGCATGCACGAGCCCACACTCAAAGTTTATACTGAGAGTTTACTGACCGCTGAATGAGACATGAGACGACGTAGTTTCTACACAATGCAAGAGATGAGCTGACGTCCACTTCTGGAGCAACGGCGCTCGTGCAGGTAAGTGAGGGGGCGTGGCTTATGAGGGAGCACAGAGGGGAGCACATAGGCAGCCACAATCTACGCATCTATCAGACCATCGACAAAGGAACAACAACTTTTACTGTCCTTTCACTTACCCAGAACTTCCACCAGATACCCGCTCTGCTCTAGTACGGCTCGGCGCTCCCTCGTCCATCAACACCCACACGCTTTGTTCCCAGAGCGCCACACAGCCGGACAGCTGGAGGGCGGAGACTAAGGAGGTCCTGAACAACAGCGCAAGATAATTTGATGTATTTGGTATTAAAAAAAAAACGTATAAACACCCTTTATAAACAAAACAACAAACACACACACAAAAGGTCAAAGTTCCCAGCCGTCAAAATTGAGTCTTTTATTCTGAAAATAAACCAGATGTTTTTCATTTTGTTTTGGTGTCTGACTTCCTTAACCGCTCGATCTGCTCTGTGGTAAATTGATGCGCCGTGTTTGAGAATCGGGCAAAAATGGAAGCCTTGGTGGTGCTGGTGGCACAATGGGTGGTACGTGCGCCCCATGTATGGAGGCTGTGGTCCTCCAAGCGGGCGGCCCAGGTTCAAATCCGAACCTGTGGCTCCTTTCCTGCATGTCTCTCTCTCTCCCTGATTTCCGACTCTGTCCACTGTCCTATCTCTCCAATAAAGACACAAAAAGCCAAAAAATAATAATAAATCTTTAATAGGAGCTTTATTGTCATTGTATTTAGGAACACAAAGAAACTCCTCTTCTTCATATGTATATGCAAAGTTATGTACATACAATAAAGGTTGTTCTAGATTGAGAGGCAGTAGCTATAAATAATCAGACATAAATAAAAAAAATTTTTTGCAGTGACTGGGTCAATAAATAAACTGTTATAGTGCAGCGACTGATTTAGTGTATAAACAAATAAACAGTTGTATGGCAGTGAATAAATAAACAGTGAGTGCAGTGACTGATCTGTAATAAAGGTGTTGTGCAGTGATTGAGTTCTTATAAAGAGACAGTTATAGTGCAGTGAATTAAATAGTTATTGCACACAGTACGTACTGAACAGTTAGCAGCAGTGGGTCCTTATTGCACAGTTTAAGTAGAGTCATTATTGAACATGGGGGTGGGGGGGGTGGGGGGGGGTTATGGGTTGAGGAGTTTGTCCACAGCTCTGGGAAAGAAGCTGTTCCTAGTCTGTTTGTTCGTGTGCGGATGGTTCTGAGTCTGCCCGAGGGAAGCGTGGTGAAGATGCGGTGTCCGGGGTGAGATGTGTCCTTTTTGATGTTTGAGGCTCGCTTGTGAAGGCGGCTCGAGTGGGTGTCTCTGAGGGACGGGAGAGGGGAGCCAACAATCCACTGTGCCGTTTTGATGATCCGCTCAAGATCTTTCTCTTCTGCTGCAGTGCAACTGGAGTACCAGACAGTACAGCCGTACGTCAGGATGCCCTCGATTGTGCAGCAGCAAAAGTCCCTCAGTAGATCACGAGGGCGTCTGTTGCACTTTAGGGTCCTCAGGAAAAAGAGGCGTTGCTGTGCCTTCTTTATCAGGTGTGCTGTGTTCAGGCACCAAATAGGCGCCCTATCATATGCTACCTAATTCACATCTGGTGGAATGAAACAGTTTACTGAACTCTCCCGATCATAATGTTCAAACAGAAACGTCCCTGCTGCACTAACGTACTCAGAGTTGTCCGTTTGAGATGTGGTGACACAGGATGCTCGTTGATATCAGGTGTGAACGTGTCCCGTGTGGTTATAAATACTGAAACCCTTTCTGCTGCTGCAGATTTGATTCAAAAGATCCAACAGGCAGCGTCTGCAGGAAGCACTTTGTTTTTTGTAAGAAGACTTAATAGAAGATGTGATAAATGGTTGTTTAAGCGTCCACACTGGTTCTGTGCTGCTCAGAGGATGAACGGAGGGATGTGATTGGTGGACAGCTGATTTGTGCTGAGGCGGAGGTTCTCTGTGGTTTCATGGCTTCCTTTTTGGTTGTTTTTTTCTCTTTGTTTGTTCGTTTGTCTCCTCTTCTTAGAAAGAAACCTTTACACGTCCTCTTTTTTTTAGAAACCACAGCGTCAAAAAGACGGCAGCACACACACACACACACACACACACACACACACACAATGTGCTGTTAGGTGTAAGATTGTGTGTGTACCTGTATCACACTTGTGCATTATAAATAAAAAATAATAAGAATGTAGGAAGCTCCTTCATCAGGATCTGAATGTCAAAAGGTACAAGACTGATAAAAACAGACAAAATCACAATTTTATGAGCAATTTAAAAAACTTCAGGACTTTTCTGAGGCATGAATTTGAACTATAATTTCATCAGAGAACAAATATCCCATCACAGCTCAGTTACCGCCCCTCTCCTCTCTCATTGGCTGACAGCTGCGTCAGTCAGAGGGGCAGGCCACGGGGGTGGGCGGGGCATACTGGTGACCTCACAGTCACATGGATCCTCATGAGGTGCGGAGAGCAGCGGAGTGTCAGAGCAGAGAGAGAGAGAGCTGCTTGTGTTCATACTCACACTCACAGAGGCTCGTCCTGTCAGCGTCTCCTTCATGACTCTGGATTATAAATATGTATTTTGTGATTTCTGCCATGAAAGGTAAGAATTAAAGTCCGCGCGCGTGTGTGCGCACCTGTCACGACTCTCCATGAAGCTCGTCACGTTTTATTGACAGTTTCTGAAATGTTTTGTTTTGCACAAGTTGAATCAAAGATTTCTGTGACAGAGACGATGCTCCACTCTGTCTCTTTCTCTGCAGCAGAGTGTCTGCGGGTAGTTCGTGTTGTGTTTGAGGTTTTAGTGTTTTACCGTGAAACTGTTCGCTGCCTCCTGCAGACCAGTAAAGATATTAGTTTCAGCGAGGAGTTCATCAATCCTTCTACTCCAATACCTTTTTTTAATATTGCCCATATTTTGAATGTTTTACTCAAATACATGAATTACAGTTTTTACTGTTAAACTGTTAAAAATATACAATTGTCGTTTTATTGGGGAAAAATGCAACAAGGCAGTATAGACTGGACCATTGTGCATAGTGGCTTTTACTTATTTTTTTAATTTTTCTGCATTTTAAGGCTGTTTTGATGCTATTGATTTATGTTGGACTTTTCTACTGTGGCCTTGAAGGCAAACCACCAAATACAAATCACACAGAACTTACTGCATAAATATTTAAAGACGCAAAACACATTTCATAAATGACAAAAAAGCAAAAAGGAAACATGTCAGGATTAAAAACCAATTTGACAAAAATGCAAAAGATTTTGTGAAATTAAAAAAAAACGTCAATGAAACCTTTTATTGAAATATATTTTTATGTTTTGAAAATCGTTTTTCCCTCTGATAAATGTTCTTTGGGTTTAAAGAAGCTTATTCTTAGTTTATCACATTTGTTAATCAACTTCTGTCCTTCTACTCTAAAACCTTTTTTTATATATTGAACATATGTTTATGTTTAACTTTGTGAAAAAAAATTAAAGCACCCGCTAACTGTAACTTTTAAGACCAAAAATACCATTTTGATTTTATAGCAGTATAGACTGGACCAGTGTGCATTGTGTCATTTTCAGGCTGCTTTGATGTTCATGATTTATGTTGGACTTAAAGCTACGGTGGCCCTGAAGGCCGACTGCAAAAAAATGAAAATCACACAGAACGCAAAATACATTTCACTTATTGCAAATGATGCTTAAAAATATGCAAACAAATTTAATAAAAACAGCAAAATAATTCCCTCAATTCAATTCAAATCAATTCCAATTTATTTGTTTAGCACATTTCACACAAACTTAAACTCCAAGTGCTTTACAGAAGACAAAGATAAACAAACACAGTGGATTCAAGAGGTCACTTTAAACCAAAACACTTTTATTAAAGGAGCATGCACATTCCCATACTAGTGTGCATACAGGAACCATACACAAACCACATGTACACACACACACACACACACAGACACACATGCACGCACACACACAGACACACACACGCACACACACGTAGACACACACAAAGATGAACTAGCAGCCAAAGGCACGTTACAAAAGCAACGTTTTAAGACCGCTCGTGACGTTTCTACAGCGGGTCAGCGGGGAGTTTGTTCCTCAAAACTGCATCAGGTGACTAAATGCACCGTCACCAGATTTCATCTGAACTAAGTTCATGTTTCAATCGACTCAAAAACATTTCAATTAATAGCAAATAAATCTGTAAAGATGTGCAAAAATATTTTGTCAAAATGTAAAAAAAATCACAGAATGTTTCATGAAAGGACCAAAAAACTCAAATAAAATATTTTCACATTTTGAAAAAGGTTTTAGTGTTTTATAAAAGGTTTTTGTTTCATGAAACATCGGCATGTTTTGTGAAATGTTCGTGCAATTCATGAAATCTTTTTACATTTCATTCTGGACGATTTGGTTTTGTGACGTATTTTTGTGATTCATGAAATGTTTGTTTTAAAATGGGCCTGAGCTGGACTCGTTCCTGTTAGAGGAGCACGTTGATTCATCATTTGAAATAAGTAACGCGTCTTCGTCCTCCAGCTGTGGGTTTCAGAGTGGACGTGTGTTGTTGTTGTTGTTGTTGTGTTTACTGAGGAGCCTCAAGAGAGACGACACCTTCACTGATCGTGTAAACGCTATTTTTAGAGATGTCAGTGAAATGAATTACACTGTAAAGGAGAGTGGTGTGTGTGTGTGTGTGTGTGTGTGTGTGTGTGTGTGTGTGTGTGTGTGTGTGTGTGTGTGTGTGTGTGTGTGTGTGTGTGTGTGTGTGTGTGTGTGTGTGTGTGTGTGTGGTGTGTGTGTGTGTGTGGTGTGTGTGTGTGTGTGTGTGTGTGTGCGCGCTGACGTTTAAGTCAACGTAGCAGTGGACGTTCATTTGAAGATCACACACACACACACACACACACACACACACACATTAGGACAGACAATTAGAGTGAAGGGACACATTTTAATCTATTTGTTTTTGTATTGTCAGAGTTTTACATTTTCTCGATTTACCGGTCGATCTTCGTTCCAACCCTCCCCTGATGGTCCTGAGTTTTGTGTAGTGACCTAAAGAATAAGATCTCAGATACAAGTGGCCTAAATAAGTTTCCTCTGGAGGGTGTTTGGGCTCAGCCTCAGAGATAGGGGGAGGAGCTCAGACATTCAGGGGGAGTCCGTTGAGGTGGTTTGGTGCAGTGGCTGTTCAAAACACAGCTGAACAGAAACTTAACGTTGTGGACTTCCCTCTACACTATTTAAATCTACACACAGGATGATGGTTTCAAGATTTTCCCTTTGAGAAATCCCCAAAAAACAGACTGCGTCGTTAATGCCAGTGCAACTTCTATTAGGATTATAAAGCAATTTTACATAAATTAGCATTTTCTGCTTTACATATTGCCCCCTGGGGACAAGTCAAGTTTTTCAAATTGAATTAAATTGAATCAGTGAGATGTGTAGTGAGTGAGATGATAAAGTGACCTTACTATATGATCAGACATTAAGGAAACATGCTATGTTGAAGTGCTGGCTTCTCTGACAACAAAGCAGCAGCCAGTATGTCCGCCTTCTAACTTTAGATTCTGGTCCTGAATGCTCTGGATTTGTTTGGACCAGAGAAGGTAGGAGGTTTTAAGGCGATCTGTGCCTCGGTTTGCCAGATGTGAGAGCAGTTATCAGGTCAACAGGTGTTGCAGCGATGGAAGCGGGCAAGAGAAGTGGTTCAGATAGAAGTGATTGTACCGACCTAAAAAGCCTCTGCATGTTTCTAATAAGCTCCACGAGCAGAAACGTGCTCAAACTAGGATCAATATTGGAGATGATTTTGAAAAATGGAGAGAGGTTAGAACACAGAAAGGTTTACAGACCGATGCAGAGCTGGATAAACACTGAAGCTTCAGAGTCCACCACATGGTGACCTGAGTAAGCATCAACTTTAGAGAGGAGGGGGGGAGACAGATCTCTACAATGTTTAGAATTTGGACTGCAGTACCCATTTCAAACACTAGGTGTCAGAGTTACATACTGCTCCTTTAAACTGCCTCAGTGCAGAGTTCTGCCTTTCCTGCATTATTAATGCTTTACTATGGAAAGTAAATGGTTACCCAAAATGCACTTCACTTAAATAGCAGCTGTTATTTATTTAGAAGGGTGTTAGGGGTTGTGTTTCTCCTTAAGGAAACAACTTTTCTTTCATTTAAACTGCACACATCTGGATTTTCCTAGCTCTGCAGAGTGTGTGTGTGTGTGTGTGTGTGTGTGTGTGTGTGTGTGTGTGTGTGTGTGTGTGTGTGTGTGTGTGTGTGTGTGTGTGTGTGTGTGTGTGTGTGTGTGTGTGTGTGTGTGTGTGTGTGTGTGTGTGTGTGTGTGTGTGTGTGTGTGTGTGTGTTAAAGCTGTCTGGTCCAGATTCACAGTCTGCGAGAAAGCGCTGCAGGAGGCATTTAGCCAGCCTGTTATGTCAGAGGATTACAACAGGCGGCAGATTATTTAACTGTTCTCTGCAGGGACGAGTGACATCATTTCTACCTCAGCTGCTCGCACACACAAAGAAACTGATGACAGTGATGAGCTGGTGAAAAGATTGCACGTATCCGTCTTCTTCTACCCCTCACATGAACTGAGCTCTTCCTGCGTGTCTGTTTGGTTTCTGTTCTTTACAGGTGAAGTTAAGGCAGAGGGAGGTGGTAATGAGTGACAGATTGGGGGTTTTGGAGGTTAGACAGACCTCCTGACTGGAGCAGGAGGAGACAGGCGGCGGTGGACTGGTCAGCGCAGCAGGTCGAGCTGAAAGGTGGGGTACAGGTCGGGAGAGTGGGCAGCATGGTGTCCTGCAGCCTGCTGAGACCAATCACACACCAAATCAGCAGAAAAAAAAAAAAATACACTGAATATTTGAGGTCTCGTGGCTCTGGTCAGGACAGAATGATACTCGGCTTTCTAGGGTTTGAGGTGCGTAAATTAAGCATCTGATAATATCAAAGTAAATTCCATTGATGTGAACAGTGTGGAAAACAACCCATTAACTACCTCCTATTTCATCAATCAATCATTATTTGTATAGCGCCAATTCATAACAAGTGTTATCTGGAGAAGCTTTACAAAAGAGCATATGGGATAATGTGCAGGAAGGATTTCTCCTTTGTATTCCTTGCGTTCCTGTTGTCCACACTTCCTTGCTGCTGAGGTGGAGGTCGGAGCAAGACGAGGTTGTGGGGACGACACAGTCCGATGGTGGAGGCTGGGCGTCATGGACGTCGGGTGGTCGTAGAGCCAGATCACCTCGCTTGTTGGAGCTCCGTCTACTCGTTGGTTCAAACAGTTATTTCCTTCACATGTTTAGCTGTTATATCTGCATTATAGAGGAGGACAGTGGATAGAGTGAAAAACTGGAATGAAATGCAGGAAAGTATCGAGGGTCAGAGACGGACCCTATCCGCCGTATTTGTTTCAGAGAAAAAGTCATGAAAAAATGAATAACCTTAACAAAGTCACAATAAGACTTAAAAACCAAGAGCGAGCAAAGACTTGAGGGGAGAATGTGAAGAACTAAACCTAAACTTAGCGACAACAGAAAAGAAAAATGGATTGGGGAGGATGGAGGAAGG